CATAATTAATCTTATAAAGGCATAGTAAGATGTAATTTTTAACTATGCATCAAGTAACTGATTCAACTGCCAGTAATCTATACATAGTCAAAGAGTCTTGTTCTTCTTCTTAGCAAATAGCACCGGAGCACCCCAAGGTAAGGTACTCGGTCTACTAAAGCCCTTGTCCATTAATTCTTGCAAGTTCGTGCAAATCTATAGGTGCCATTCTTTGTGGAGTCATAGAAATGGGCGATGTACGGGGGTGCAACTCTATGGTGAAGTCTACATCCCGAAATGGAGGTAATCTCAGTAGTCCATCTAGAAAAACATCCACATACTCACAAACAACCCGAGGCAAACCCAACTCTTGTCTCACCTCGTCTTCTAGGGTAAGGCTCGCTAGCCAAACCATCAACTACCCATGCCATTGAGAGTCATACACGGCTTGGGGTAAAGCATCGTATTTTTTTCCTGAAACTTGAAACAAACACCCTATTGTTCGAATTTGATATTTACAATTTACATGCAAGTATACACGATTAACAAGTAATAAAGTGATAAGTAAAGTATCATTCCCATGGAGAGTTATTGCTAATAATATCCAAGTACTAACTTTGTATCAATTCAATTTTATTTAAACAATTGGAATTGAACTATGAAATGACTAATTTAAAACTAAATCTAAATTTAATAATCACAGATTGAATTTACCGGATGAAATAAGTTAAGATTACAACTTCCCCTAATGCTTCGTATAAATCTTTCTACTCTCTTTCCAATTAATTGACCAAAATAAGTTGTTAACTGAGAACTCAAAGTTATTTATCAAACCTCTTTCGATAGTTAGATAAAATTATCTCTCCCAATGAAATTACTATATTCCTATGCAAAATAAGTTGGAATAGATTCATTAAGTTCAAACTCTCATAAAAGTTACACATGGCATATTGGTATATTCCTGTCCTATACCCAAGCCCGACAATTCAATCCTAAGAAGAATTAATCAGACGCATGTCATCATATTCAGATCTAAACCTAGAATTCATCTCCCAATTTCATAAAGGTTATCAAATTAATAGTTGGCCACACAATCATATATTAAGCACAAAATATGATAAACAACTCATGTATGATCAATAGAACTAGAAACGAGAGTAGATCAATTTAACTAAACATCTGGTTCCGTTGCAATCTTAATAAGAATTTATTTCATAATGTAATTGAAAAATATCCTTCTCAAATTAAACAACATCTCAGAAAATCAAGAAGTAAAAGTAAGAGAAAAGAATGAAAACTTAGTTGTAATCTTCAATCCTTCTCTAGCCTTCAAATCCAATCTTCTTCGTGTCGCTTCCTTCGATTTTTGTCTTCAATTTTCTTTTAATCCTTTGTCTTTTTTCTTGTTAGCAGCCCCCAAAGTCATTCTATCTCCATCACAACTCAAACCCTAGCATATATGTAACATTAGGGTTCAATTTCAGCCCCAAAACAAGTCAGAATTCGTGTTCAAAGCCAACACAAACGCAACAACGCTGAAAATCAGCGTGGGGGGTGCCGAGTTACTGCTCAGCACAAGGGCACTGGTTTTGGCACAGGGGCGCTTTCAAGCCTAAAGTTCCCTTATTGCTTAGCCTTAAAAATCCAATACTTAGGCTCCAAATTGACCTTGTTTCCTTCCAAATGATCTTGTTTGCTTCCAAATGATGATTCCTACCAAATAACATCAAAACACACAAAAAAATAAAAAGGAACATATAATAATTGAAAACTTGAAAATTCATCAAGCTAAAAGTACTCAATTCATAGGTATAAAACCCACTCATCACACCCTCCAGTGTACAAGGAGTGACCCTCTTCTGATCACAATCAATGACGACTTGGTGTGCCACCAACTAATCCATCCCAAGGATGACATCAAATTCTGACGTGTCCATGACCCTAAGGTCCATGGTGAGTAGAATCCCCGAGCTCCCTAGCTCACAACCTTGAAATATTTAATCAATGCATACCTAAGCTCCTAAAGGAGAACTCACATGCAATGGCTCTTCTCAACCTCTTAGTCCAAATATCTTACACATGATGCAAAAATAAATGAATGCGATACACCAGAGTCAAATAATACCCTTGTCTATAAGTGAGAAAGTAGAAATGTACCCTAAATAATTAATTGATCCACTAGCTCAGTTTGAGGTGTGATGGCGTAAACTCACCCCTAGGTCCCTGAAGTACCGGCATGTGAGCCCTGTCCTCAGCCTTGACCCATCTAGCCTGACTACAGAGTCCCCGTTTGTGAAGTAGTAGGGACCTATGTAGCACCCTGGAACTGATACTAGCTTCCTTGGCTCATGGTGGGGTAGGGAATAATGAAGTAAGTCTGTGTATGCCCCACCAATGACTAGGACTGGGATGTACCATAGCTCTAGGATCCTTGCCTCTGAAGACAATCCCCCTTCATGTGACCTGGCTGGTGGCATATAAAACAAGTCCTCTGGCCCACCTGATGAGAAGGCCTGAAGTTTCTCCCACCTTGGGAGGATTGACCATGGCCTTGGCCTTGATAGTCGCAGCCCTGTTCTTGAAACCCTTGTGGGTTAGAAGTCTTTTGCTTCTTCCCCAAACTAGAAGAAGTGGATTAGCCCTCCCTCTTCTTGTCCTTAGCACCCATCTCCTGGATACTCCTTGCGTCATCGACCTCTCTCTAAATGGTCATAGTCATCTCAACCATTGAATCCAAATCTTGTAGGCGGTGGCCCATAATCTTCCCCCCGAATGGATAATTTTAAACCATCCTAAAATCTCTTCACTTATCGAGAAAATGGGCTAACTCAGTGGACTTAGCCACGTATTCCATCATTGTCATTGTCCCTTGTTTCAAATTCTAGAATTCCTGGCTTTAACATGTGGAACAGCCAATGGGAAGTATAGCCTGTGAAAAGCTCCCGAAACTCTTCCCATTTCATTGCCTCTAGGTTCTTTGAGACCTTTGCCCAATCCCACCATAAATGGGCTTCTCCTTCAAGTTGAAATGTAGTTAGTCTTATCTTAGTGGCATTGGAGGTGATCTTCATAGCCTCTAAGATCTTATTAACCTGTTTGAACAAATGGTCAGCCACCATCAAATCTGCCCCTCCCATGAAAGTCAGTGGCTTGTGTGCCTTAAAATTTTGGAGGTTACTTGAGTTTAAGGCACCTGTTGGGGATCTGATTAACCCTAATTATGTTAGTTAAATGATTTAAAACGATCAAAATAAGTCAAATTAGGGTTAGTGTGTAAATTATGGATAATGCATTAATTGTTGTATTTTTCATGGTTTTGTGTGTAAATGATACAAAGTAAAAGGGATCAATCTATCAAAGTCAAATCAGCATGGGATCAAAGAGCAATTACATCAAATCAAGCAAGGAAGCAAACCACCAAAAATAGTGGAATGCCACTGTCTGGACGATGGCGGTGGCGTCTGGATGGTCAAGAAACCGCCTGAAGTCCTTTCTCTCCAACCATTGGCCAGAATATGCAACAAGAATTTCTAATTGGGCCTCCCTTCTTCTGCCACCTTAAAGCACCTCTCCAGGAGCCTATAAATACCCCAACAGCTTCCAAATTTCAATCCAATTCAGATTCAGTTAAGAAGTTCTATCAGACAACAAGCCACAGAGAGTCACTACAACAAAAATCGTTTTTTTTGTGACGATTTTTTTCGTCACTAAAATAAAAAAAATCGTCAATTATTTTTTGCAATGTTTTTTTTTGTCGCGTATTCATCGTAAGAACCTCGTCGCATAAAGTATTTTGCAACGCAAATTTATTTTCATTGCAAAAATAAAAATTTTTGCGACGAAAAAAACGTAGCTAAAATCTATTCCACTAGCATAAAAAAATAAAAAATAATAATTTAATTAATTTTTCGCGATGTAAAAAAATCGTCATGAATATTTTTTTACATAAATACAAATATAAAAAAATAATAATTTAATTAATTTTTCGCAATGAAAAAAATTTGTCGCGAATAATTTTTTCATAAGTAAAAATATAAAAAATAATAATTTAATTAATTTTTCCCGACATTAAAAAATCGTAACAAATTTTTCGCGACGTAAAAATATTGTCGTCAATAATTTTTTACTTAAATAAAAAATTTAAATAATAATTTAATTAATTTTTCACGACGTAAAAAAACGTTGCAAATACTTTTTTACATAAATAAAAATGTAAAAAATAATTGAATAAATACATTTGTAACGTATAAAAATCATCACGAAAAAAATTATTTCTAAAATTTTCGTGACGATTTTAATTTCGTCGCAAAAAAGTTCATTTTTTTTAAAATAATTCATAAAAATGATATTCCAATAAAATGTTTCACCTGTACACCAAAAATATTTGTGTTCAATAAAAAAAACTAATATAATTAATACATTTCACATCTTTTTAAAAAAATTACACAAATTTTTATTTCCAAAGTGAATGAATTACAAGAATCAAAGAACAAGAAGTTCTAAAAATTAAAAAAATGGTTTTAATCCTTCAAGAGGATTTAAGTCATCTCTTATTATATTTAATGTCTTTGAAACATTAACAACTCCAACAGTCCAGCTCCATGCCTTAAAATACCATCTCCAAGCTCAACAGATCAGTACCAGCCTAGACTAAATTCATATCAGAACAATCAGGCCACAGTCCAGGTGCCTAATCCATTCAACTCCAAGCATTTTACCGCAGACAGCACCCTCTGGACATCATTGATACATTGATACCAAACGAAAACATGATAACATCCCGGAAATCCATACTCAAACATCGTTGGAAAAACTTGCAGAGATCTAAATCCCCCTTATGCCTTAAAAACATTTAAGATACAGATATTTGATTCACACAAGTAGTAGACCATAAATTCAAGAAACAAAATTCATTTTATTCCAACACATTTCCTCACATAGCGATGACATAATACCTTACTATGACCCTTGTCAAGCCAAAGCGAAGAATGATGATTACAACAGCCAACCTCGAGTCTATCTTACTTAACGGATGACATATGGACAACCAAGTCAATCACACGTGAGCTGCAGCACATAAAGAATAAGGTCATTAGTTGCACAACATTGTATTTACATGTAGAATGTCCTAATTTAGAGGCAGTATGCGCTCAATAAGATTTGCAACATAAATAAAGAAGGACCTTGTGGCTGGACTTCAAATAGCCACGGGAGATGCAAAGAAGGAAAAGTAGCATCAAGATTACCTATAACCCCATTCGTTATCGTACCATGCAACAAGCTTCACGAAGTTCTTATTCAAAGCAATTCTAGCCTTAGCATCAAAAATGTTGGACCTAATAAGTCAGAAAAATACGGATCATCTACTTGTCAAAGAAAATGAAATTTCATAAGTTGAAAAAAACATTTCTTCACCCAAGTCATAAGGATTGAAAAATTAAGCCAAAGACTATGATCAAAAAGTATATCAACAATAAATTTCACAAGTAGGAATCCATCAACTATTAGTATGCCTAAATGTGTGGTTCATGGACAAAGTGGAATAAGTAATGAAAGGATAATCAAAACACAAAGCATGTAATTGAAATATCCATTCTCACCTGTTGTCACCTACAAAGTCAGTGGACACTACGTCATCTTCAGTGTCACCTAAGATTCCCTTTAGTTGCAAAACACTTACATACTCCACCAAAATATATCACATATAACATCATCTAAATGGTGGGGAGACACTAGAAGTACACAATTCAACAGATCTACATCAAACTTTAGCACAAGTGATATGTTACATAAAGATAAACCTTCAAATGAGTGGCAGTTTTGCCTTTGTCAGTGAACACTCCAGTTGATTCCACGATGTACTCAGCTCTGGTGTTGGCCCATGGGATTTCCTCTGGGTTCCTAGAATCAGAAACAGAATGACATCAAAGATTGTCCATATCGGATATCTCTAAATAAATAAGTAGACTCCACTGATAACTATAAGTGCACGTCTAAGTAAGTAAGTACTTGTTCTAGTTTATGAGCTTCCACTGCATCAAGTTTGCTTTTCGCTATTTCATTTTGAATATTTTTTAAACTTGAAGTCTTTGTTGCAATTCTCATCTATATGTCAGACATCTTCTTTTGAGCATCATCATAAGCAGCACCGCCAGATTCATGCTGAAAAAGTCCACAATAGAACAATGCACAACTATGACATCTAGCTCTACATAAAAATCAAATAGTGAAAGTTTCCAAGAAACAGAAAATAGCAGAGCCCTTATGAAATTCATAGCAGCTTTGATACTTGTATCTTAATTGTTTACACTGAAGAAAATATCTTTGGAGTTCTCCTTAATTTCCTCTAAGACTTTCTCTTCATCAAGAAAGAGTTTTTGCAATTTTGGGAATGTCTTCCTCCAGTTAGGGTATGAGATTTGTTGACTCCATCTCTAATGATCTTGTTGATTCTAGTGCATTTCCAATACAACATCCATTTGAAATCCTTTGGAAACCATCTTTTGGGGTATTGCTCCTCTTATTATTTACATATTCATTATTCATCTTCTGCTATCCATGAAATGTAATTTGGTCTGATGTATCTTCTTATCTCTCTGATGACATAAACAGCATAACATTTCCTAAAGGCATAAACAACAGCATGTATGGTACAAGGACCAAAAAGCATAAACAGAGCCAATGCCCCTTTATACACACAAACTTCTCCCCAATAGTCTTGGGCAGCAAATAAACTTCACAAGTTTAGTGAAAAATAAATTCAAAATACGTCATTAAATAATCCACAATACCATAGAAAGAAAATGAAAATCAACTACTGAGTAACATCTTGTCAAATTAAAGAATATCTAGAACAACACATTGTTAAATGTATTATTAATAAATTAATTGAGAAAGAAAAATAAGCATCTAAAAATAATTCAATATTTAGTTATCAAGTTCCCAAACATACACACAAAACAATATGATTTTCAAAGTTGATGAATCTTTGCATTTACCGAGCAGATTTCAATAAGTACTCAAAACCCGCATGAGAGCAATCAAATTACATAAAATCTTAAATACAAATCAATAACATGAAATCTGACAAGAAAATAAATAAAGATGAAATGAATCTGTTACAAACCTACAAGGAAATGAAGACCACCATAAGATTAAACCCAACTAAGAAACAAAAACACCAGCATATATCAAATAAACAACAATACCCAAAAAATCAACAACCTGTCGTAAGTAATTTTTGGGACCGAAACAGCAGATTCTCCTAGACCCAGAAAGACACTTTGCCTTGGGCACAGCACGGCACCGATTCAGAAAGAGACTTTGCCTTGGGCAAGAAAATAAATGAAGCTATTAATTTGGTTGGCTCTATGAAGGTTATCGGGTAAATAGAGGAACACAGTGAGGGGGAGAAAGAGAGAGAGAGAGGGAGAAAACTTACAAATTAATAGAAGGAAGGAGAAGGGGGGAGATTAACTGCCTTGGGCTGAACTTTGAGACTTCGATTGCCTAGCCTGATTTCACTAGAGATTTCGATTGCCTTGAGACTTCGATTTTCGATTGCCTTGAGACTTCAAGACTTCGATTGCCTGATTTCACTGGATATTTTTTAGACTTTGAAACTTCGATTGCCTTGGGCTGAACATTGGGCTGAACTTTGAGACTTCCAACAACAAGGGATGCTTCTCGGTCGATCTCAATGCAGCACAGTAGAAATCGAGGGAGAGAGAGAAAGAGAGATGAGGAGGAGGAGTCGAGAGATAGAGAGAGTGGCATTGAGAAGGGAAATTGAAAGATCTTTTGATTAATTTGTTTTTTAAAAAAACTATTATGCGACCAAAAAAAAATGTTGCAATTAAAATTTTAATTTTGATTTAAAATTATAAAATTTAAATTCTGTGACGAATCTAAAAATGTCGCGAATAATTAATTAAATTATTATTTTTTAAATTATTTATTTACAAAAAAATTTATTAGCTACGTTTTTTGAAAACGTCACAAAAAATTAATTAAATTATCATTTTTAAAATTTTTTATTTACGTAAAAATTTATTGACGACGTTTTTTCAAAAATGTCACAAAAAATTTATTAAATTATTATTTTTTAAATTTTTTATTTACAAAAATATTTATTAGCAACGTTTTTTTCACAACGTGGCAAAAAATTAATTAAATTATTATTTTTTAAAATTTTTATTTACGTAAAAATTTATTATGTCACAAAAAATTAATTAAATTATTATTGTTTAAAATTTTTATTTTAGTAAAAAATTTATTGGCGACATTTTTTAAAAACGTCGCAAAAAATTAATTAAATTATTATTTTTATTTAATTTTCCAATTCCCGGTGTTTCTCTTGCCAAAAACAATTAAGAGGGAATCGCCTTTTCGCGACATTTTTAAAAAAAGGTCGCAAAAAATTACCAAAATAGAAATCTAGACTTTATTTTACTTTAAATTTTAGATTATTTATTTTTGTCGTAAAAAATTGGCAATTCCCGCCAGCTTTCTAGCCTACTTTCTAGAAACAATGCAGTAGAACCCTGCCAAACCACTTCCAACCAGCTTTCCAGCCTACTTTCCAGCCAAAGCTTTTCTTTCTTCTACATTTATGTTATGCCTTTCTACTTGGAGGGTTTAACCTCTCCCACTTTTATGCCCTAATTGGTATTAAGAGTCATCGTGTTTCAACTATTCCTTGGCAAAGGATTGTCTGTATTTTGTTTAAGTATTGTAATTGAACTATCTCACACCTCTTGCTCGTCTATAGCAATGGGGCGTGAGTAGTCCACTTCTATCCTTCGGTGAAGGGTGAACATATGTAATATATTGTTTAAGTTATGGAAATGCTAATGTTATAACTATGTTTTGTTGTTATATATACTTCTCATATTGATGGATGGTTACATTTATAATATGCTCATGGTTATGAGCACTGAGCGGTACCTAATGTTGTATACCGTACTATCTACTAGTTATGTACTTTATGCATGATACAATAATATACGTGATTGGGCATTACATAATAGTCGATTAATTGGTTATAGATAGGTTAAGTCTCAGTATAGCCAATGCTTTTGATTCAATGTGTAAACCAGAATCTCGTCATCAATGAATCATCAACCTGTTGGTCGAATAACTGTAGTATTCCTTCTGAATAGCTTGCCTTCTGGTTTACTATATTTGTTGGACTTTTGCATGGTGCAGATATGTCAATTGAGTAATTCAAGAATTCCTCCTGAATAGCTTGCCTTCTGGTTTACTTGGGTTGTTTGATTGTTGCATAGAAATATACCTACCAGCTAACCTAATCAGTTGCTGGATAGGATTTAACATACATCATACCTACTGGTTGACGTAAAATGGGGATTAATTGCTATAAGGTGGCATTTCCAAAACTTAACCAATATAATACATATGGAATCCCCAAACTGAAGGGTATCTTTTAATTATCGCATCTCCACAGTTTTAACTAAGCTTGTTTTAATTATTCTAAGCTCGCACCACAAGCTCTTTTATTACATTTTGTATCTGTAACAGTTTCACTGTTTCTATTTTGAATTCTAATTATTACCTCCCTATAGGTTTGACCTCAAACTTAAACCAAGTATTATGTAATTTGACCATTTATACTTGGGTGTATACCATTATTTAGGCTGAATGTGAGTCACAAACCCTTTGTGAGAATTGCATCAAAGCTGAATTTGGATAGTTAAATGAATGTGGATTTTGTTGAGTAAAGGCTTAAATTGCATATTCATTTCACACATATATGAGTTTTGAAAGGAAATGTGTAGGTGGATACTCTAGAATAGCATTTAAGGCAATGATGTGATTCATGTGAGATTAGTTCGGGTGCATTGGCAAAGCTTTTTCTTTGACATCCCAATGCTAGTAAAATATTATGGAATGTTGATAAAAATTGTCTTGGAAGTATTAATGGTTTAGAAGGGTTATAAGTAGAATACTTATTGAGGACAATATAATTAGGTGACATTATTCTTGGCGAGCTTAGTTCACTATACTTAGACTATCTAAAGTATTAACAATCAATAATCTCTTCATTGGGTGTGGAGTTAATAGTTGAATTGTATTTATAAATTTTGATTGGAAATTTGAGGTCGAGTTTTGGAAAGGAAATCTAGAAAGCTTGACTAAGTTGTAATAGTTACCTTTGACCATAGATATTGCAAGATTAAAGATTATAGAGATTTAAAAGCGTGAGGTCAGATATAGTAACCACTTAATAAAATAAGGTTGATATCCAAAGTTTAATATGAACTTTTATTGTTCTGTGGGATCTTTTAATGTTATTGGAGTTATGGTGGGGGAATATGAAGTTCTTTTTCCTGCCTCTCTTAGTACATTATTAAGATAGGTTTGATTAGTTATACTTGACAATTTTTGTTATGAGTATTGAAGTTTCAAACTTTACAGTTACTGGTGGTAATTAGAAAGATGTAATTTGAGGAATCAATGATGATACTTATGCATATTGGCTTGGACATGAATTGAGAAACTTTAAGCTGGGATAAATGGCTAAGGTTATTCTACTAATTAGTAGATCGTTATTCTCTCAAGGATTATGAATAATTGTTAAAGCTATATTAATTAATGTAGTCAAATTGAAGGAACATTGGTTTAATCATTGGGAGTCTTGTTTTAATTTTGATTATATCATAAGAAGTATAGTGATAGAGAACTAAGAATATTTTGGGATCCATGACCGTCTATCTTCACATTTTGGTATATTACAAGGTATATATTTTACTAGATTGTATCATAAGGATTCAAAAGTATAGGCGACTAAGAATTGATTACATGGTTATTAATTCTAACTCAATGTTAGAGATTGAGAATGAATACTTGGGAGATAAAAGGCATTAATCGAGTTGGTGAACATGTAGAGATATTAAGATTGATCTAAAAGTATGAATCTGGATACAAGTGAGTTATGAAAGGGATTGTAAGGCTTATTGATTTGAGCTCAAGATTGGGGATTGAGAGCAAATATCTTGGAGATATAACTTGACCCTTAGCCTAAGTAGTATAGTAGGTTAATTACTAAAATTCTATTTGAATGGATTAGATGGATCATTAGTGTATACATTTTTTAAGCTATAATTGGAGGAGAAGTGTGGTTAAGTTTCAATTGTACACTTCGGTGAAATCTGAAATATCTTCTCAAAACTTTCAAACCTATGGTAATTCTTATTTTGTGGCTAATTTTGATTTGTGAATTAGTGGATTATAATTTATATCAGAGTAGGCAACGAACTATTTGGGTATTAACTATAATGGTGAAGGTAAGGACTATCATGAGAAATTGCAAATTGATGTACAACCTAAGAGTTGATCCTAGAATATTGACTTATGTGAGAGTGTGTAATTGTGAATTGAAATTATTATTAAATTTCAAACATTGTAAATTCCTCTTGGCTAGTGAGAGACAAAGTCATTACGAATGTTGTATCTATTTTAGGAATCAAGATAAATCTTATCGTAATATCATTACTAAATGTTGTGTTATACCATGATGTAAGTATAGGAAAGATGAGTAACTCTATTAGCAACATTTGAGTTGTTTTGATATGCTTATGAATGAACTACATGTAAGAAAAAAATATGAAGTTTATTGAAATGATTGGTGAAATTCAAAAGAAATGTGATATTTGATGAGTAGAGTATTAAATAATATGATCTAGTGGTTATGCATGATAAGAAATAAGTTGAAACAATCATATATACAATTATTGAGAATAAAGGTGATAAATGAATTCTGGTGAAGGAAAGTAATCTTGGTGACTTTAAGTAACTACAATGATGTTATAAGTGGAAGGATAAATTTAAATTTTAGAGTATGATATTTTATTATGATCTTGGATTTGATTCTTAAGGGATTAATATGCATTTAGACCCTGTTGTCAATCAGAATTAGGGAGACTAACTCAATGATTAAGTTTTGAGAATGAAATTTTCTTTTAGAGGGGTGGATAGAAAGACCTCGTATTAAAATAAAAGAAGGATAATATTATCTCAAAAGTTCTTCTAAGATGAATAAAGTGATGGTAGAAACTTGGAATCATTATTAAAACATTGATTATGAAGTTTGAATTTCAAGCGTATTTTACTTTTGAGGTAAATTGAGTTTTAGAGATGTGTACGTTTGAGAAGGGTGGCTAAGTAATTTTATATATATATATTTATATAAAATAAGGTTTCTATTGAATTCAGAAGGTCAAAAAATATTGGAAGAGGTTACTTGAGTTGTATTAGAAGTTTAGAAGTATTCTAGAGTAAAAAACCTATATTTGGAGAGGATTTAGGTAGAAATGAATTTGACATAACCTTAGTATTTGAACCATAACTTTCTATCTCGATGTCCAATTGATCTGAATTTTTTACAGAAGATGCTAGACTTCTAGGCTACAAAAGTGTATTTTATGAAAATTTCATGAATAGACATCTAACTAAGCTAAAAATACCTTGGAAGTTTAAGGAAAACTGGA